GCTTGTTGCATCTGAGCAACCCGAAACCTCTCTGAACCCTAAGCCTAGCATTGTCCTTTAAGACCCTCTGAAAATATTCCTAAATATCATCCTCTTAAACCCAATAAGGGGGTTTACAAAAAAAACAGGGGACCCCGAATAGAAACCCCCAAAGAGTAGGATTACCTTATACTAAGAACCCTAATAACGCATCCCAAATTTCGGAAACACCTAGAAGGGAAAGTACGACATGTCCCAAGGGGCTACACAGAAGCCCTGCCAGAGCCACTCACCCAAAACCCTAAGTACCTATATGGGGGGGACACTTACCCAAACCATGATAGTAATTCCTGTGATAGAGACCCTACTTTCTACAATAGAGGGCCCTAAACGTATAGAGCTCTTAAGGACCCTACTCTCTACTATGCTAAGCTACTGAGGACCCTTTGGGTCAGGGGCTCAGGGCCAAAGGCAGCCAAGGCGGCAAGGAGGAGAAATGCCGAGGCAAGCCGCTGGCCCGGATCGTCAGGCCGATCTTCCTTTGTTCGGCGGTCTTTGTTTGTATACGTATCCATTGAAAGATGCGAGACAAGAACAGCAACACAGCAACACAGCAACATGTGCATGCAAAGGTGCGCAAAAAAAACAGCAGCGCCAGAAAAAAAAAAAAAAGAAAAAAGATAGAACACAAAGCATTGATGAACTACATGATGGACTACACATGTGCAAGAGGGGTTAGGGGAAGAGTTGTTCAGGCTAACCCTCTGAACAAAATGCTCCTAAGCATGATCTTCCTCTAACCCAAATAAAGGGAGATATGAAATAATCCCAAGGGCCTGCCCAAGTTGTAAGTGTAGGGATTTCGGGACCCACCACACCCAGGGAACCAAAGACAGAAACCTCCGAGGCATGCTCTTGCAATAGCAAGGGAAACACCTACTCATAACCCCAAGTATCACTAACCCTCAAGGCTGGTAATTACCCTAAACCCGAAACCCTAAACCCCAAACCCCAAACCCTAAACCCCAAACCCCAAACCCTAAACCCTAAACCCTAAACCCCCAAAGCCCGAAACTTGCGTGGCCGGCGGCGGGGTCATGGCGGAGGCACTGAGACGCCGGACGACGGAGGCCATGGCTGCGAGGTGGACTTTGGGAGTTTCGAGAGGGGCTTCGCCTTTGATCCGTCTGTGTCTCGCAGAAAGAGCTCAACCTGGTGGGTTTAGGGTTTAGGGTTTAGGGTTTAGGGTTTAGGGTTTAGGGTTTAGGGTTTAGGGGCCTTTAGGGGTTTAGGGGTTTGGGGTCGAAAGAGATTCAGGGAAGAAGATGAAGTACACCACGACTGGGTGTGATTCCACTAGGAATCTAAGACCCCCAAAAGCCATTTTGCATCTGGCCTGTCTAGGGCTAAAGCCCTGCTGAAGCAGTAAAACCCCTAAGACCCAGTTACTCTCAACCCCGACAACCTTCAAAAAACTTAGACGCCGCGCCTGTATGTATCCGCAGAGCTAAACCCTAAACCCTAAAAGCCTAAGCCCTGCTCAAGGGGGAAGGGGGGCCAGCAGGTCTTCCTACATTCATGGAATGTACATTTATCGGCTCAGTGTTTTAGGATTTGGGGGTCTAGGGTTTGGGGTTTAGGGTTTCGAGATTGGTGTGTGGAACTTCTGACTGGCGTGCGGAAACTATGGCTATACCTACATGGCTGTAACCTTACTATGGCTATGTCTGGCTGCAACCTTATTTGGTGCACTTATCTAACCCAACCCATGACGACCCACAAAAGCATCGAAGTGAGCCCGAACAAGGGCTTGGGCTTACCTTAAGAACCCTTATATGTTTACCTAATACTCCGACACGGGGTCAGACAATAAGAGCCTATAAGAAAGTAGGTTTTGGTGTCTTAAGCAGGTTTTTTCTGGGGGGTAAGACAATAAGAACCTGGTTTAGGGTTTAGGGTTTAGGGTGTCTTAAGGAGGCTTTTGGGGGACTCCCCGGGTTCCTGTCATTTTTGAACCTCTCGTGGGGGGGGAGGGGGGGGAGGGGGGGGGGTCAGTCGTACCCTGCCTTGAGCTGTTTCGAGACACACCGAAACAAGCCTCAATGAAAAAAATGAAGTGCGAAACTCTAGATCTGACAAACCTCAAGGCCCAAAACCCTAAACCCTAAACCCTAAACCCTAAACCAAAAACCTTCACAATCGTGGCGATGGCTCCATGCACTCTCCCACGCTGCAGGCGGTGCCATACCTTGATCGGTATGGCTTGCAGATGGAGTGTTGCCACAATTGGGGGGGTGGGGGGTGGGCTGGGGGCACCCTTTCTGGGCTTCCTATAAGAAGGATTTGTTCTTGGGGGGGGGGGGGTTAGGGGCTTTGTTGCAGGAATTCTTCAACTCATTCTTCAAGACTGCGCAAGGGCATAGGGTGCTGTGGCCCGCGCGGGTAGCCCATCAACGCGTTGCTGCGTCGGATGATCCTGACGTTCACCTGAGCTGCATCCGAGACACGGTTTGTACCTTAAGGCCCCAAGGACCCTCCTACAGAGGGACTGGTACGTCCTAGGCCAATCTCAGTTCCTGAGGTTTTGAGGACCCAAAACACTTATAGGGTAATACGATGATGGCACTAGAAATTTGATTGGGTCCGCTCATAAAGCAAAAAGTGTCCTTAAGACCAGAATTATCGTTATCATTCCGATAGTTTGTATGGTTGCCCGAAAAAGACCATACTCGTAAAGACACCTCCTCAAACACCCTTGCAGTCTTCGGGAGAGGGGTTTAGAGAGCCGGTGTTCCTCACCCTAAACATAAACCCTAAACCCTACACCCTACACCCTCAACCCTAAACCCTAAATCCTAAACCCTACACCCTAAACCCTAAACCCTAAACCCTAAACCCTAAATCCTAAACCCTAAACCCTAAACCCCTAAACCGATAACACAAAGCTTCGGCTTCACGACTTTGGACCTCCCCAACACCCAAACGGCCACCAAGAACCTCCCGAAGCCTTGAGCTACAGGAAGGATCCTTCTACATCCTTGAACCCAAAAGCCCGTTTACTCGAAAGTTTTTAGGTCCTAAGCCCTCCTGTGGTTTAAGGGGCCTTCCTCAACTACAGGGGTGTTTGGAAGATCTGGGTGCAGGTAGGGTAAACCGTAAACCCTAAACCCTAAACCCCCAACCCCCAAACCCTAAACCAAAAACCACAGGTCGGGGAGCCGGAGCCATGACGAAAGGCATGACCCACTTCTCGGCATCGGGGTCGTAGCCAAGGGCGCTGATGCTGCCGAAGTCCTCGGCTGCAAAATCACGCGGTTTAGGGTTTAGGGTTTAGGGTTTAGGGTTTGGGGTTTAGGGTTTAGGGTCTAGAGTTGAGGGTTTAAAGGTTTCGGGTTTAGGGTTTAGGGACACAGGCCCGCATAGCTGACACGAAGCCACTCAGGAGGATGCATCCAGATGCGACTGAAATAAAAGGCGAACAAACGGCAATGCAAACATGATCGACGGTGACCCAGGCCTGAGGGTTTCCGGTTTAGGGTTTAGGGTTTAGGGTCAGGGTTGAGGGTGCAGACCAGGACTTCATGGAAAGCGGCTGAGGGTTCGCAACTCTGTTCGGGTCAAGGGAGCCATCGGGTATCCTGTTTTGTTGGAAACCCTACACCCTACACCCTAAACCCTGAACCCTGAACCCTAAACCCTAAACCCTAAACCCTAAACCCTAAACCCTAAACCCTAAACCCTAGACCCTAAACCACTTGGGGCTTTAAGGGACCTTATGGTGTCCCAACGGGCTGCACTCTCCTCCAAGCCCTGGAAGTTCTTTACAAGCCCCTAAACCCTAAACCCTAAACCCTAAACCCTAAACCCTAAACCCTAAACCCTAAACCCTAAGCCCTAAGCCCTAAACCCTAAACCCTGAACCCTGAACCCTGAACCCTAAACCCTAAAACCGTCTTTTGCAGTCTGAGAGCCTTGGGGCTTAATTTAGGGCTTCTACTTGGAGGTTCATGGTACTTCTTGACCAACTACAACTGTACTTGTAGGGTTTAGGGTTTAGGGTTTAGGGTTTGGGGTTTGGGGTTTAGGGTTTAGGGTTTAGGGTTTAGGGCTTAGGGCTTAGGGTTTAGGGCTTAGGGTTTGTACATGTAAGTGTATCTTATAACCACATTTTGGCACTTAAGGGGCTTATCAGTGGGTTATAGGTACAGTGACGTTGGTTAAGAAGTCATCTGAACCTCCAAGTAAGCCCTAAGCCCTAAATCCTAAACCCTAAACCCTAAACCCTGAACCCTAAACCCTAAACCCTAAACATAAATCCCTAAAATCCCTAGGGTTCCTGCGAGTTTCTAAGCCGGGCGTCTCCGGTGTCCGGCCCAGCTTGGCCGCCGGGAGGGTCTAAGCCATAGCGCTTCGTCATGGCCTTGTCCCTAAACCCTAAACCCTAAACCCTTCTTGCATCCAGGCCTCGTAACGACTGCCGGGTACTTGACCCTAAACCCCAAAGCCCTAAATGCGCTGGTTGCTTTATAGGGGGACCTAGAAGGGGGAGAAAAACAAATACATAAACCCCAAACCTTAACAACCCTGGGCTACCAAGCGTTTGGAGTCTGGACAGCTGGGGTTGAGGGGGGCTTCGGGTTCGCGAGTTTTATGTTTCAGGGGGTGGGGCTTAGAGGGTGCAGGATGTCACGTTTCAGGTTTAAAAGGGTATGGGGTTAGGGTTTCAGGCTTCGAGGATCCTCTGCCAAATCGCATTCTCCGCTCCGCAGTGCACAAACTTCCCATTCGCACCGCCGATTTTACACCAGACTGCTGGCGGGGGCGAACTGTCAGCAGTTTTTATAAAACGAATGGAGACATATGGTCAGTTCTCTAAATTCGGGTCCTTTTTGGGTAGCCTAAACAAGATGGGCCGCCTTATAACAAGGACCCCAAACAAGGCCATCATCTAGAGAAATCACCATACTAGAAGGATGACAAGTCGCAAAACTGGGGAAGATGCATCTGCTTACGAGGCCTCTCGGAATGCACGGGCCCGAGAAATCATCCTTGGATCCGGGGAACCGGGTTTAGGGATAAGGTTTAGGGTTTAGGGTTTAGGGCTAGGGTTGGGGAAGAGCTCCGAAGGCAACCGGCCCAACCCATGAAGTCCCGGAAGATTTCGCAGGCAGCCGTGTGGCGTCGGCGTTCTCCGCGTTCGGGTTGTCCAGCATGTAAGCACCTTCCGGCAAAATGATTTGCTTCATGCCTAAACCCTAAACCCTAAACCCTAAACCCTAAACCCTAAACCCTAAACCCTATGGACCCTAAACTTATAAACCCTAAACCCTGAACAGGCTGGCGGGCCACACGAGCTCCGGCCCAAACTTAGGGAGATCGCACACACGCGTGTATGTCCGAGGTAGGCTCCGAAAAAAAACTCTGAGTCCCTCACTAGCACAGTCGCCAAAGGGCTTAGGGTTTAGGGTTTAGGGTTCAGGGTTTAGGGTTGGGGGTTTCAAGAGTACGACCTACCACGGGACCTTCCCCAAACCCCAATCCCTACTTGCCTCTTTTTTGCAGCTGGGACCCTACTTGCCTTCACAACCCAAAACCCTCAACACTAAACCCTATAAACCGCAAATCCCTGCTCCATTGTTTTACGAAAATCAGACACCCCGAATATAGTCCCCAAATAGTAGGATCCCTAATCTGATAATGACCCCGAATTTACCCCAAACCCTACGGGGACCCCTAAGCCCTACAAGCCCTAAGCCCTAAGCCCTAAACCCTAAGACCTAGCCCAAACTTGTGCTTCTGGGACGCCACTCTCGAGGGTGCCGCCGCTGGCGCCGCCACTCATGTTGCCCACAACCGTGCGGATGCGGGCGCATGCCATGTTATGACCTGCCACGGTTCAGGGTTTAGGGTTTGAAGTCAAGGGAAGCAAGTGGATGGTTGCCATAGCTTTGGCTCTAACCAAGACAGACCCGAAGTCCTGAACCGTCAGGGTTGAGCGGAGGGTTAGGGTTCAGGGTTTAGGAGGGTTGCAGTTCCCTGAACCCCAAAACGCCCTCCCTAAAGTGTTAAAGACTACCTAGTGCCATCGATGCTTACCCCCAAGTTAAGGTAGCTTGCATTCTTCACATTGGTTGCCACTAAACCCTAAACCTTAAACCCTAAACCCTAAACCCTAAACCCTAAACTCTAAGCCCTTAAACCCGCAAGCCAGCTCTCGGATCTCCCCTGCTCCCACAGGTCAACTGGCCAACACTTATCCTGAAGGGGAACAAACAACTGCGACCCCGAACCCTTGAAGCCGCGTTTAGGGTTTTAGGGTTTAGGGTTTAGGGTTTTAGGGTTTTAGGGTTTTAGGGTTTAGGGTTTAGGGTTTAGGGTTAAAGAATCAAGAGCTTGCACTTGGGATGTTCCCCCTTATGCTAACAGTCCTGAATACCGATTATAGTACCCCCCCCTATGATCACCTATTAAGGACTTTCAGTATAAGGGGGAACATCCCAAGCTTGCACCTACGCCCCAAAAAAACAACAGATAGAAGACCAAAAACAACCATGATAGACCAGGCTGCGTAGTCTTCATCCGGAACCCCAACATTCCAAACCCCACCGACTAAGACCTACCCCCTGAAACCTAGATCTGTTTGCTCTAGGTTTCAGGGTTTAGGGTTTCACCCTAAACCCTAAACCCTAAACCCTAAACCCTAAACCCTAAACCCTAAACCCTAAACCCTAAACCCTAAACCCTAAACCCCTGAACCCAAAGCCAGAAACCCGCCAGGCCCTACAGCTACTTGCGGCCAGGAGTGGCGTTTCTTCATCTCCGTGGCCGCCATGAACCTTCGAAGTTTAGGGTTTAGGGCTTCGATTCGGGTTTAGGGCTTAGGGCTTAGGGCTTAGGGCTTAGGGCTTAGGGTTTAGGGTTTAGGGTTATGGTTTAGGGTTTAGGGTTTAGGGTTTAGGGTTTAGGGTTTAGGGTTTTGGGTTTAGGGTTTTGGGTTTAGGGTTTAGGGTTTAGGGTTTAGGGTTTAGGGTTTAGGGTTTAATCCGAGCTCCTGTTTAATTAAACCCCCATAATTAAAGAAATTTTTTTTGCCCGGATTCCCGCCGGAAGACTACTTTCCATTACGATGGATTTCGTGTGGGCCAAACCCCCCCACATTTAAAGAAATTGTTTTTTGGGGGGGTTGTCAAATTTTGAAACTCTGCCTTTCGGAAAGCTTTTTTCTTCTGCAGGGATGTTTGGGTCGATGTGAAACATCTGCTAAGCCGGGGCTTCGGTTTTCTGGAAGCTGAGGGCCTTCAGAAAGCAAGGATTTCTTATGTGATTGCTTACTGGAGGACAGAAATTGTCATTCTTTCCTGAGCTACCCCTTACGGGCTCTGGCCGGGAAAGGCGGAGTCACATTAATAGAACGGGGCCAGAATTATGGGAGGCCCTGGCCCGTGGGGAGCCCCGGTCCTGTAGTCTTTAAAGAAGCCTTAAAGCTTAAAAGGAAAAACTTTAAGGAAGCCGGGGCTTCGGTTTTCTGGAATCTGACGGGGCCATGGTCCAACTATTGCGGAACCCTGCCTTCCTTATTGGGGGGGGGGGGGGGCCCCCCCCCAATTAAACAGGAGCTCGGATTAGGGTTTAGGGTTTAGGGTTTAGGGTTTAGGGTTTAGGGTTTAGGGCCATCGAGGGTTTCGGGCTTCTAGCGTTGAGGTGTTCTAGGGTGTATAGCGTTCGTGGTGTAAAGCACGCACCATAACGCCCCCGCAAACAGCAGCAGAAAAAAAGCAAGCAAGCAAGCGCGCGCAGATGCAGCTTCGAAGCGCCCCAAAGAGAGAACGCAGCACAAACACAGGTGGTTAGGGTTTAGGGTTTAGGGATTTTTCCGTCCCGCATAGCTGGCCGAACCGCAGGGGTTTAGGGTTTAGGGTTTAGGATCACAATCCGACTGGGACCACGAGGCCTGGACACATCGATCTGCATCCACAAGAACTATGTTCTGCGCAACGTGTCCATCAGGACCTCAAATCTTAGGGTAGTTACATGGCTTCATATGGGCCTTGAACAGCGAGCACCTTATATACCCCATATCAACCCAAGGGCCCATACTTCAGAACCCTTGAGAGAGGCTAAGGGACCATATTTAAGGGACCATATAGCTACCCTTAGATCAAACCCCCCAAAAAACCTACAACTCATCATGCTTCACAGAAAGACAAGAATGCTAAACCCTTGTAAGACCTTACAGCTCCTGGAAATGGCACGTCCCCACCAGCGGAGGCTCGCTTCTGAGCCTAGCTTCTGAGCCCCCTTGGGCTCCCATATCCAAAGCCAGGGTTTAGGGTTTAGGGTTTAGGGTTCAGGGTTTAGGGTTTGAGTCTGAGTTTGCAGAGACCAGCTTCGCAGCCGGATTGGTGAACTCGCCTGGTTTAGGGCTTATAGGGTTTATAGGGCTTATAGGGTTGATAGGGTTTATAGGGTTGATAGGGTTTATAGGGCTTATAGGGTTTATAGGGTTTATAGGGTGTATAGGGGTTGATAGGGTTTATAAGCTTTACGGCTGAGGAAATCCTACTGATCCGACCCAGGGCTTCCATTTGCACGCCGCGGCGCGCGCCAATGTCGGAGGGAATGCTGTCGAAGCCAGCGCAGTGGACCTTCGGGGGCCCAGTAGATATAGACCGTATAGACCTCAACATGAGTTTCAGATGCCATCCCAGAATGTTCTAACATTTGCATCAGAAGCTATCACTTGGGATGTTCCCCCTTATACTAACAGAAACCCCCTATTACAATCCCGACGAAGGACTGTTAGTATAAAGAGGAACATCCCAACCTATCACCTCAAGGCAGTTTAAGTCTGGGATTTAGGATTCGGGTCTTGCTCTCGAATCGGGTCTCTTGTGGGCCTTCCGGGCATCCTTGTTTCACAGCAGAACCGCCCATTCGGGTCTATGATTTCGGCTTAGGGATCAGAATCTAGAGTTTAGGGTGACCCTCAAAAGAACAGCACCTACTTGTTAGGAAAGCTCAATTATGCTACAACTAAAACCCGTCCCAGAAACCCCGAAACCCTGAACTTTAACCCGAAAAACTTAAACCCTTTCATAAACCTATATACCCTTCATCCCAAGACCCCCTCCAACCCCCTTACACCCCCCCCTGTCTGGCTTAAAACCGTAAAATCTGACCCCCTAAAACTCTATAAACCCTAAAAGCACAGCAAGCCCTGCAACCCCACCCCCCGCCCACCCCCACGCACTCCACCAAACTATGAAAAAAATGAACCCCAAAAACCCGAAAACCCTATGACCCTATACACACTCTGCCACCCTCCCTTAAACCCCCCTGTCTGGTGCTACCAGGGACCTTCAATCCCTAAACCCTGAACCCTAAACCCTAAACCCTAAACCCCGGCGCGCTGGTCGACCCTGCGAGGGGCCCCAGGCGGGCGACCCAGCTGGCCTCCAGGCTGGCTTACCCTCCAGGCAAGCACAGGCCGAGCCAGCAGTTGTCATTAGAGTATTACCCTAAACCCCATGTTGTCCGCGCACATTGTTCGGTCCTGATGCTTTGTAAAAAAATAAAAGAAGGTCTTAACTCCTTGAGAGTTGTAAGGCGGTCTTGGGGTGGTAGGTCTGCAGACTATTGCGTGCTCCCAAAGCGCGCTTCCGTTTGGCACGCCCCAAACCCTAAACCCTAAACCCAAGCTGTCTCTCGCCGGGCTGCGACCAGGGACTTGGTCTCCTTGGCCTTCTCATCGTAGCGGTCGGCCGAGGACTTCACGAAGGCCACCTCGCCGGTGATGTCCTTGGAAGGCTTGGTTTAGGGTTTAGGGTTTAGGGTTTATAGGGTATAGGGTATAGGATTAAGGGTTAAGGGTTAAGGGTTTAGGGTTTAGGAGGCTTGGGGATGTCGATGTTGGGGGTTTGGGATTTTTAAGGGTATTTTGGGTTGTTAGGGTTTCTGTTGAGGGGATTGAAGGGTTTCTAGGGTTTTTTTTTTTGGGGGGGGGGGGGGTTAGGGCTTTGAGGGTTGAAGGATTTTAGGGGTTTTAGGCGGGTTTAGGGTTTTAGGGCTGAGCTCGAGTCCACTTCGCAGGGTATGCTGGGTTTTGGGGTTGAGGATTGAAGGTTTGCTCGTTCGCAGGCTCACATAGTAGGGTTTGAGGGGAGCCAGCTTACTGTCTGGATAATGGGCAGCCATAAGCTGGCAATCGTTTATTTGGGGTACTTACAACCTACTTCTCACTTTCCGTGCAACAACCCTGAACCAAAAAGTTTAGGGTCAACTCACCTCACCTCCAGAGTATGAGGACTCTATTGCAAGGCCCCAAAGGACCATACTATAAAGGTTCCTCGGTGAAGCCTCAACCAAAGAGCCCTCAACCCCCCCAGCGCCTTGCAGCCTGCCAGAACCCGCAACCTAGACTTGTTGGCAGAGAGGCAGAGAGTCATCATGACACATCTCCCCATAGAAGTCTCCCAAGCCCTACAATAAGAAGCAGGTTTTTGGGGCTAACCCCCCAAAAACCCTGAACCAATCCTCTAGCCTATACCCAGACACTTGAGGTATTTCAGAACCAGGCGTCGATGTAGCAGCAGCCGTTGTTGGTGCAAGCCTCGACCACTGGCAAGCCCTGCAGGCGACGGCGTGAATCCCCACGAAGGTTTCGGGTTTAGCATGGTGCGCTTCTCGATTTGTGCGGTGGACGAACTGCACCGCAAGGTTTAGTGAGGGTGAACACTTCAGGGTGTACCTACAGAGTAGCCTGCATATCCCTCAGCAAGAGGAAAAGACACCGAGAGTTCAGGCACGTGTCCTTTTTTTAGGGGGGTATTGATATTAGATGGCTCTAGGTAGGGTCGAGGGGACAGTCCAAACAAACCAACGAGCCACCACAAACAGCCAGTTCGGTGTCTTTCGCAGTTTACCCACCGAGACCGTTCTGCAACCTTAATTTTCTACGAGTAGAATCTGAAAAGAATCGTGATTGTTGGTGGTGGCTTTAACTACCTCAACCACTACTGGACGCGATACAATTGTATTGTATAGAGAACTCATATGCAGGGTCAACCCCATCATTTGCACAAGTCAGGCTCTCGTTTGTGCAGCTGGGGGTGCCAGGCAGGGTTTAGGGTGCAATGATAAGAGCCCTGCTTCTTCCTTGGGCGCCACATGAACCCTAAAATTGGGATCATCTACCCTATACTACTCTAATCCCTATATGAAAGTATATATAATTCATAAACCCCTTTTTAGGGGCTCACTTCGTCGTTAAGGTTTCCCACACCCGCGAATATCTGTACAGGAGCAACCTGCCCGCCTTGTCAGCATAAGGGGTGCCTGCATAGTTCAGGATCACCTTGGCACTCTTCGCAGCCTCCTTGCATGGGAGGCGAAGGTGTTTTGGCTGTTGGGTTACAGTCTAAACCCCAAAACCCTGAACCCTAAACCCTAAATCCTAAACCCTAAACCCTAAAAGGTACACCTGGAGGGTGACATGAGAGCCGCCGCTTTCTGGCTTGCCCCAGGAGTACAGACACTCAGCTTCGTTCACGGGGTACAACCACCCTCCTGTCCCCAAAACCCTTTGCAGTTCCAGCATGGTCATGCGCACCAGCAGAAGCCTCACCTCCCTGACGACTCTACCACCGAAGTACTACCCGGGACCCGTTTGAATCTACAGCGTGGCCGGAAGAGGAGTCTCGTGTGAGGGTGGGATTACATGGTTCTCGAGTGTGTGAGGAACCGAAGAACTCCTAGCATTCCTCCCTACAATCACTATAGGCCTCCCCTTCTTGGACATGGTGGGTTTAGGGTTTAGGGTTTAGGGTTTAGGGTTTAGGGTTTAGGGTTTAGGGTTTAGGGTTTAGGGTTTAGGGTTTAGGGTTTAGGGTGGCAGAAAACAGCAAGCCAACTCAACACCGAGCCCCTCGCTCTCTAGACACCTCGCTCAAGGACTCTCGCCAACACGCTCTTAGGGTTTAGGGTTTAGGGTTTAGGGTTTAGGGTTTAGGGTTTAGGGTTTAGGGTTTAGGGTTTAGGGTTTAGGGTCGCAAGTCAGCCTCTTTGCGCTGCAACGTGTGCGCGGGCTTCAGATGATGGTCCCAAACTGAGGTGTGAAACAAACCACTTCGTAACTCAGCAGAGGCAGTTCTGTCAGGATGGGCTAGTATACCCTACACCCCTCAAGAAAGCCCTTTATAGAGCTGATTATGGGGCCAAATTAGCCCATCCTGGTGGCAACTCTGCGCCCCCCTGCGCTGAGGTTCCGTAGAGTTCACCGCCAGTGCTCACCTCGCCTCCGCTTTGCCCTCTCCTTGGCCAGGAGAGCGCAGGCTGGATCAAATGGTCCTTACTGAGTTTCCAGGAACCAACCCTAAAAACCCTAAACCCTAAACCCCAAACCCTAAACCCTCTGAGTTTTCTCAGAGGGCAGAAGGTTCGGAATCTTGGAGCTTGGGGGTTCTATTGGACCCTTGAAGTTCTGAACACATATAAGACCCAGGGAGGTTTTAAAAGGGTGCACCTTTGGGTCTTAAGGAGTTCTTGGTAGCCCAGTAACCATACCATGACAGGGCACCCTTTGTTTAAACGGAACCAAGAACCAAAAAAAAGAGAAAGGGCACCAAGAGTTTGAATCCGTACCAAAAGAGGTTTTGAAACAAGAAGTGGTCCAGGAGTCGACTCTCGTGTAGGCCCACGTGACGGCCGTACGCAATCTCGAAGAACTGGTCCAGTGCTGGCAGCACTTCGCCACGGAGTCGGGTAGCTTCCTTGTTGGCAGCCGTCATCCACTCCAAGAAAGTGCACTGGCGGAACTGCTTCAGTGCCTCCAGTAGGCAGAAGGTCAGTACGCCTTGCTGGCTGCCGTTCAGGTACGCTTCAATCGCACACTGGCCCGCGCCACACGCCGTGATGCAAAACACAGCCAGGCCCTCATCCAAAGGCTTCTGCACTTCGGGAAGCAAACGCCCCAACTGCGTCCAGAAGGTCCTCTTCCCAACCTCAGTAGCCCAGTAACCATATAATAATAATAATAATAATAATAATAATAAGGGCACCCTTTTTTGGGTTGGTTACTTTTATGAGGGAACCTTGAACCCCAAGAAAGGGAAAACGGTACCACTGGGCTACCAAGCAACATGCGACAGACGGCGCGGCAGGGCATTCACGTGCTCTAGTCGTGACCAGACCTATCGTTCATGGTTGGGATAATATCAAAAATATGTTTGTTTTTCCTTATTGGGTTTAAGTACCCTTAAAAATGCAAAATGGTAACCAACTATGACAAAGAGACGTTCTCATCGCCGCCATCGTCCCGAAGGCTGCCAACCTCGTTTCGCTGCTCGTGGGCTGGATACTCCATACCTTGCGGACCGAATAAACCCTAAAATTGATTGGGGTCATATACCCTATACTCTAAGACTCTCATCCCCATTAAGGTATACGAACCATAAACCCGTTTAGGGCTCATTTTGTCCTCAAGGTACTGCGCTTGATGGGCACGCGGACGGGAGGACACAGGAAGGACGCATCCAGAATCAGGGTCAGCATCACGCCACCCGGCAACGAGGCGAAATGCTCATGAAGCTCCTGATCCGTGATAAGGATGGGCCCTTATTCTATATAGTGTATATCTTCTGTAGGGTTCAGGGTTCAGGGTTTAGGGTTTAGGGTTCAGGGTTCAGGGTTCAGGGTTCAGGGTTTAGGGTTTAAGGTTTAGGGTTTAGGGTTTAGGGTTTAGGGTGTAGGGTGTAGGGTTTAGGGTTTAGGGTTTAGGGTTCGCCACCCGCCCAGCTGAGCCCAGGGTTTCGGGTTTAGCGTGGTTGAAAGAAGAAACAAGGGACCCAAACGAAGGGCCCAAGTATTGGAACCCTCGATCCTGATCCGTGATGACGTGGTGCGTCCAGAAGCCCTCCCAGTCCTTGGGGACGAAAGGCGCCCTAAAAGGGTTCATATACTTTAGAAGGGATTCGAGTAGTATAGGGTTCATGATTTTGGGGTTCTGAAATGCGCCTTCAAAGGATTCATATACGTTAATAGGGATAAGAGTAGTATAGGGTACATTATGAACCCAACTTTAGGCCCTAAACCCTAAACCCTAAACCCTACACCCTAAACCCTAAACCCTAAACCCTAAACCCTAAACCCTACACCCTAAACCCTGGTTCATTCGCTCCGCGAGGGTCAAGGGGGCAAAGAGCCTCCTCGAAGGGCGACGCGCCGGCAAAGCCCTGCACCTGCATGGCACGCCCGCAGAAGATCCTGGGGGTGGACTTGGGGGAGCCCTATGAAACTGAAAGGGTTTTTGTATGTATATATATATATATATAGATACATAGATAGATGCATACTTTTCCCTTTCTTTATTTCTTCCGACAGAACGATTTGGGGGGAAGAGGAACCCCCATGAAACTCACATGTCTATTGCGTGCATAGACTAGATACGGCTCTCCAGTTCTCATTTCTTACGATAGAACTGTATAGGAGATGCAGGGTCCATAGCACATGGTTGTTCAAAACGACTTCCAAACTCAACTTCTGGCTCATCGTTAAGCAGTCGCCCTTCGAGGCATCTGACGTGAGCCAATCCAGTCCCTGCACGATGTTGTCCCTCGTCGGAATAGAATACTTCTCATCCGACTCTCCCACAGCCTCACCACTTGGGAACTCGTCCAGCATCACCCAGATTTCCTAAACCCAAAAGTAACCTAGGTATAAAAACGGATTATAAGGGCACCCAAACCCAATAAAAATGAATCTAAACCATAAAAAAAGGAATAAGGGCCTACTATGGGTCCTAGTTTCTTCCTCCAGCAGGCCGAATCTGCCAAGTGCCTCCACCCAACGCAGGGCATCGTTCACGGCCCCGTGGAGTTCTGCGCTGGTGTCGACGTAGTTGATGCCCACCACCAGGGCCTTGCGCTCAGGCATGAAAAGCGAGGAGCATCATGGATGCTTTTTGGCCCGGCGACTTCGCTAGAAGCTGTGATCGGGCATGACTTGGCTGAAGTGGGCTGAGATAAACGAGCAATCTTTAGTTTGACTTCCTACCTAACTTCTGTGAGAACGCAGATAGGAGTTTCAGGCTGTTTCTATGCTTGTTGTTGAGCTTCCCACGACCTTCTGCAACTATGATGTTTCAGCTTGGCGAACACTGAAAGGAGTGCTCTCGAGCCGAAGTGGCGTTCAACTGGGCTTTCCGGTTTGCGGGCCACCGGGTGTGCAAACTTTTACAGCATGAAAGGGATCCGATGGCTGAGCCGTATAGTTCTGCAGACTGTAAACCCAACCCGACTCCCAATCCCGGAGACTAGAAGGTAGCAAAAACCCTGTGACCCCAACAAGCCCTATAAACCCTACGAACGCCGAGAACGCCTATGCAAGGCTTGCATGCCCTGTGGGGGGGAAGGGAAAACTGCGCTGAACATTCCTTTGGCAATGGCATCGAGAGCCTCCACTCTCCCACTGGCAGCCTTCGAAGCCGTAAGCCCTAAACCCAAACAGCCAGTAAACCCTCAACCCTAACGCTGATTGACGCCCGCCGTAACCATATTTTCATAAGTGCACCCTTGGTTGGTTACCTTCTCAGGTTTGCTACTAAGGGAACCCAGAGCCCAAAAAAGGAAGAGGGTAGCACTGGGCTACCCAGGATTTAGGGTTCCTGCAAACCCTCTCCTCCAAATCGGCCGGGTTCGTCACATCCACCTCTGCCGATTCGGACTTCAGAGATAGGTGGGGCCTCATTCTGAAAAGCCCTTTCACAGGAATCTGAGTCAATGACCGGGTGGGATCCAAGATTCAGTGATTCGTAACATTTTTACACTTAAAGCCCTGAAAACCCCAAGCCTCAACATTGTTGCAATCCCAATATCTTGAACTCTACACGAGGAACGCCGAAACCCTAAACCCCTTAAAAACCTTAAAACCCTTGTCCTTACCCGAAACCCTCAAATCCTGAATCCTACCCTATTATAAACCCTAAACCCTAAACCCTAAACCCTAAACCCTGAACCCTGAACCCTGAACCCTGAACCCTGAACCCTGAACCCTACAAACCATGTACAGTGAAGTGCGTGGCCTTCACCAGCGGGATGTCCTTGGCGCTCTCCGGCAGCTCCTGGGGCAGCCAAGATGGCAGCCGCCATGGTGGGGGTTTTGGGTTTAGGGTTTAGGGTTTAGGGTTTGGGGGTTGGGGTTTAGGGTGAAGGGGTTGGGGTGTAGGGTCTCGGGCGAAGGGCTTACTTGGGGCTTCGGGTATCCTATGGTCGGCTTAGAGGGCGTCTCGGGTTTAGGGCTTAGGGTATCCTATTGTCGGCTTAGATGGCGAGCCCGCTGACGTTGTGTGATGGGGGGGTGGGGGGGCTTGTTCTCAGTTTCCCTTTGGAGGTACCGTTCGTCCTTATATTAAGGGGAACCCAAATGTCAGCCTAATTTTCAACAACCGCCACCCCCATCTTTTCCTGAAATCTCCCTTTCGAACTCGGAGATCTCCCCACAAAACCCTTCAAACACTTCTTTGCCCACACCCAAAACCCTAAACCCTAAACCCTATACACCCTTCGGTTCTTCGCAAAATGCGCCTTTCTGATCTTCTCGAGCTTGTCTAAGCTGCGGCCGGCCATTGCCCAGTTCACCTTCTCGCCACCTGCCAGGTTTAGAGGGTTTAGGGTTTAGGGTTTAGGGTTTAGGGTTCTGGGTTTAGGGTTTAGGGGGGTTTGGTGTTCTTGGTCGATAGTGGATTTACCTGCAGTTTTATGGGTTCTACCTGCTAACTAAGGAGTAGTTCCTACTAAACTGCAGGTAAATAGAGTCCGAGGTAGAATTTTGGTTCTGTATAGGTTTAAGGCCACTTGTTGAAGCTTCAAGGTTTATTGGCCTTCGGGTTTTAAGCATTTGAATCTACAGGGTTCAGGGTTTTGGTTCTAGGGCTTTCAGGGCTTGGGGTTGAAAGGCTCTAAGGGCTTTAACATAAGTCTTTCTGGCTTAAGGGCCTTTAGGGCTTCATAAGCAGCAAGGACTTATGAGGGTTGTAAGCGGCCTGAGGTTTTGATTCAGGCAGTCGAGGTTCTTTGGCGTCCTTGCGTCGACGCCCGGCCACCACCCTGCAACCTGAGCCCTGAACTCTCGGTCCTCCTAAGCTCTATAGGGTTTAGGGTTCAGGGTTCAGGGTTAGGGTTTAGGGTTTAGGGTTTAGGGTTTAGGGTTCAGGGTTTAGGGTTTAGGGTTTAGGGTTTAGGGTTTAGGGTTTAGGGTTTAGGGTTTAGGGTTTAGGGTTTAGGGTTTAGGGTCTAGGGTCAAAATCATCCACGAGACATCCCGGAAAGCCAGAGCTCTAAACCCATAAAGGCCTACGACGCATCTTCCCACGACCATAAACCTCCAAAACTTCTCCTCTTCCTCGACGTCCCAAGCCCTGTGTATGATGAAACAAACCGAAATCCGAAACTCTAAGCCGCAAACGGCCATGAGATCCCTATCCCACCCTAACCGCAAAGGTCTAAACCTGCAAAACCCTTTTAACCTCCATACGAGCTAGACCGCTGATCCGCCTCGGTTGGCAAGGTATTCGCATGCTAGGCGGCCGGTGAACCCCGTTGCGCCCAGCACCTGGCAAAAACCGAGGCCAGACACGTTTTTGATGCGTTGAGGGCTTGTAGGGTTGTGGTTCCGGGTAGGGTTCTGCATGGAGCTTCCAAATTCCCAAGAGTCATATTGTTCGAGGACTCTGATTGGGGCTTTTGGCCCCCCTGTGGACTGATTGAAGAATTATTGCTGCAGTCACGTGGCGGTGGCTGTCATCTACGTGCCATCGTCACTGTAGGTTTACCCTAAGGGTCCATGTACCTGATTAATTATTGTATACTTGGGCCTAAAGTCCCTTGATATGAAGTACTTTAAGGCCCAAGTATTCCCTATTTAGGCACATGGACCCCCGGGTTAATGTGTTACCTTCAACCTCAAGGCGACAAGAACTCCTCCGTCCGATTTGCCCAGGCACCACCACATCGTAGGTTGGCATCTTCGCAGACCGCAGGCTCCAGCGCAGGGAGGACCGAAGTTGCTTGAAGCAACAGCTGCGGCCAGGACATACGAGCACATCACATCTCCACACTTGTCCACCCCAGAAGCCTTAGAAAGGGTATACGTCGTGGGGGGGGGGGGGGGGAAGGGGAAGGATGGTGCCGATTTTACGGGGCTCCGCCATAAATACAGAGTACCTGCCACCCAGGGAGGTGGTTTTTCAAAAGCGACCCCGGTGGGCCCCATAGGCCCTAAACCCCAAACCCTAAACCCTAAACCCTCCAATGGAAATCCAGGCTCGGAGTCGCAAACTTTTTTCCCTGCCGATCGCCAGGCACGAGGATGTGCCGGGAACGTTGAAACGTGACCCGCAGCAGACACCCCAAAACCCCTAAATTCTTTAACCCCAAACCTCGAAACCCTGAACCTTAGATCCTGTAGACCCTGAAATTAATAAGCTGCAAAAGCCTGACGTGCTACCTGCGTCGATGTCAGTTTAAGCTTAGCAAGCTCTGCAAATCCAACACCTCGGATTTTTGAGAAACCCATCGCCATCCACGATGTAAGGACCTCTATATACTCTACTGAGCTTGGCACCCTTGCAAAAGCCATGATTCTAGCTGTTCTTTGGGGATTCTACTAACCAAAAACTGAGAAATGGAAATCAAGTACCCCTAAGTGTAGTTTAAGGTGCATGCCTTCAGGTGTTGGGCTCGGCGGGTACCTGAAACCCTAAACAATGAACCCTAAAACCTAAACCCTAAACCCTAAACCCTAGAATGCTCCGGGAAAAGACGGCCTGGCCTTGCAGGCTTTTGAGGGCACTCCGACTGCGTCCCGGGGGTACTTACAGCCAGGCAACTTTGAGGGTTTTAGGGTTTCTGGTTGAGGCTTTTATAGGGTTCTAGGGTTTTAGGGTTTTAGGGTGTCAGGGTGTTGCGGTTTCAGGGCTTTAAGGTTTTAGGGTTTTGGGGTTTCGAGTTTCAGGGCTAGCTGTACTTGCAACCTTGGTTTGGGAGCTTATGCAAATTTGGCTATAGCTACAAGTGCAGACCAAACCCGGGGTTACCGGACGTAGGGAGCTCTTTCAACTAAAGTGTATAAGTAGGTTAGAACTGTACCACGGGCCTCTACTCAGGCATCTTCTTCAGCCACAATGCTGCCTCACAATCGATCCGTCCTTGGTCCCTCGCCGAGCCGGCCGGAACAGCTGTGGGCAAAGCTGCGAACATCACTACATCGACTCCCCCCAAGAGAACTCTTTCAAGGGATTGTATAGAGACACTACATCCCGAAGTCCCTACTAAGAACCAGCAAGAAGGTTCTTGTGGAAGTTCCTTGACGCAGCGGTTCCGACCTAGCCGAATGAGTTGGACACTTGGCGGATGTCACTCGTGTGCAGGCACCGTTGCTGACGTTCGCGCCGCCAGGGGGCTACCCATCATGCAGCCCGGCCCAATAACTACTCCTGAAGGGATGATAGTTGCGATGATGCACTGTTGGTACTGGCAATCAGTGGTAGAATCCCCTGTGGCAAGCGACGCCCTGAAGCACACAGCATGCCGCCTTGCTGCTGCTGTCAGCGGCTTCCCTTGTGCTCCAAGGGCTTGTGAAACTCAGTTTGGCGGTGTGGCTGTCGGAGACCATAATGTTTTGCATTCTCAAACGCTTCGAAACAAAATCGTGTCACAAACCTGGTGCTACTCGAACCCCTCCGTGTAAGGCTTACGGCATCTGCTTGTGGGGCTGTCGTCCCCAGGAGTTTATACGGGTCTCCTCCGGTGGCCAGCCACCACTTTACTAACCTCAGCCGCCCGCACCGCAGGCGGCCAGGCGCGCCAGGTCCGTCGGCTCCAAGCCGTCTGTGCGGTGTGGGGCCTCTCGCTTCCCACGCCTAACCCTTGTAGAAAACAAAACGGAACAGCCGTTACAGAATATTTTACAGGGTTCGTTAGTTTAAGGAAGAGGTTGATAGCAGCGGCATGGTATGGGAGGGGGGGGGGGGGGGGCGGGGGGCATGTCGTTGGACAACTTTAAGGCTTCGGAGGTTGGTGAGTCTTGCGTGCTCCAAGTCGCAGGAGCGCCTCTGCTGCGAGGGTTGTTTCAACAGCCACCCCCGGCTTATTTCCAAGGCCCCTCAAGTCCTAAAGCTCACCCATGGTTCAGGGCAGAGTCTTTTTAGGCCTTCTGGGTTACGGTTGCACCCTTCAAGAAGAAGTTGGGGTTCGCTGTTGTGATGAACCCTATAACCCTTGCTCAACCCAGCCTCTGCTCCAAGCAACCTTAAACCCTACAACCCTACAACCCTACCACCCTACAACCCTATAACCCTAATCCTGCAACCCTATCACCCTAAACCCTACAAACCTATAAGCACAGCTTCTCGCAGCACGACCGTCGGACGTGCCTTCCCTGCGTTGGGCGCCTTGCCCGCATAAGCGCTCGGGACCTCGGGGCGCTACGGACCGGAAATAAGGCACTAGGTACCACATATTTCCGACTTGCCCTGAGTTTAAGGATGATGGTCATAGTTCTCCCACGAAGAGACAGGAAGCCACCAGCGGCTACTGCATCATTCAAGAGCTGTAGAAAGTTGGCCCAGAGCCGAGTGCCGGGCAAAGAGAGAATGAAAGAAGCGGTACAGGACCGCCTCACAGGACATTCATGCCATTAGTGCTGAACTTGAGATCTGCTGTCTAGAAGAACACTGATGTAAACATTTGTCGGAGGATGGTCCTCGAAACGCCGCCGGAGAACCTGGTTTCATTTCCCCAAGCCATTCCACTTTCAAAGCGAAAGCGGCCATTTCAAAACACTCCATGCAAGACCGCCCGGTTTTCTAACAAAGGCCAAGCTCCTCGAAGCTTGCACCCCTGTAGACTCCCATTCTGAACAGCGGGTTCGAAACTTCGATACCTGCCTTCCTTAAGCTTCCCAAAACTAAACCGTCCATCCTAAACCCTAAACCCTATGGATCATAAACCCTAAACCCTATGACTCCTAAACCCTAAACCTCTCGAGCATCTGCGAGCCCTTCCCAGCCCGGCCCAGATGGTCAGGAGCCACTCCCAGGCCACTTGCTGGAGGTGGCTCCAG